CGAGATCAAAGCATATTTATGAGTGAATAAACAGTATGCTTATTGCAAAATTAAACCGAACTCAATAGCAACTCATCTGATATGCTCATTGAAGTGTTGAATAAACATCCTCACACCAGCTCTGAAATTCCTTGTATTTTGCTTCGGATGCCAGTCGAGCTTCAGTTCAAACAATCTGGCACCACCTACTCGTTCTGAATGTCTGCGTAACTTTTTCTTTTCTACCTCCAAAGAGCACGTTGAACCTTTCCTCAAAAACATGACAAACACAATACATCGCACTAAATTCAGCCTAATAGAATCATTTCAAAAGAACAGAAATAGTGCCTCGTCTCGCAGGAACTGAAGATCTACGCCTCTCCTTCGGCCCATTAACGAGTCTGATAAAACCTATTAAACGATTGCGGAACATCTAAGGAGGATAATAAGGTGCGCTCAGCAGATTTTCACAGCGCTTGAAGTAAAAATACAACAGTACGAACTGACGGCAGCACTGATTCTTGTACTGTTAGTCAAAGACACGCTTGTTTCATTGGCGGTCGCATGGCAAATCAATGGGAGTAAGCTGAGCATGAGGGAAATATATTTCCAATATTCCCTTAGAAGAGCAGCGAAGATGAGGAACAACATGACATCGCTCTCGCCAGTAGCTGGACCATCCATATTTCTGTCTAATTGCTCAATTAGTATGTATGTAGCAGCCTCAGTCTCGCTTATAATGCCAAGTAGGCAAAAGCTTCCAGCGCTGAATATGAGATCCCGTTCCTCCCAGCTGAACTAATTATGGAAAGCATTTTAAATGTGCCATTTCCATAAACTAGTTCTCTCCTCCCTCTTCTGGGAGCTGGAACGAAAAACAGTCCGTGTAAGTTTTCCTCTGCCGTCATGGAAACACGGAAAGTTTAGGCTGTCCTATGAAGTGCACATGAAATATTAATGATCGCCCACTGCATGCCTCATGTAGCGAAGTGCATAATGCGTGCGTTATTAATGTAGACCGATGGTGCGTTTCTCCATGTGAATTATGGCCAATTGGCATCAATAAAAAAAACAAACATTTCAACCGATATTCAAGTACTTTTAAATATCATTAAACACGAATGCAACAGATGTTTGTCATTAATTTAATGACTGCAGTATTGACAGCAGACACAAAACTGTTAAATGCTTTAATGCAGTGCTGAAAGATGTTATAATGAATCACGCTTATTGTGTTTTTCCAAATGCTAAAATAGCTCAGAATGGCATACATCTAACGAGACCACATTTTAAGGCATAATAGACATGTTTCGGTGATCCAAAAGATTGGTAGCAACATCATGCTGCCTTCTAAGATGCATCACTGTAAGCCAGCGTTCAGCATATATAAACTAATCCCAAAACGCATTGCGACAAGCTTAGTGGAAACATTCATCCATGGCAGATTCATTCTGTAGTGGTTCAAGCACAAAGTGATGACAACTTTGGTAATACAGAAGATATACTGACATTTCATTCAACTCCAGTAAGTATGGATGATAAATATAATTCAACATCTAATTATACTGAACTGTTTATTTAGAATGCATCCTTGCTGAATAAAATATAAATAAAACAACATTTAAACATGAATGTAATTCTATTGAATTGTTTATTCTAAGTATGGAAAATAAATAAAGTCAATATAAAATGAACCCAATTTTTGTGTGTATTTTTATTCTTATTAGAGTATTGCATCATTACCTTAGCTGCATGCTAGTCAATTCTATTTGAATTAATTATGAGTTGAGTTGCCTTTGTGGCTGCCTATGAAGGGTTCTCCGAATCTGTTATTTATGAGCTCCTCTTTCGATTAACATGCTGCCTTAGAAAGTAGCTACCTATGTAGGCAGTATACTAGCTTTTTGGGACAGTTGAACTGTATGGTTTATAGTGCCATTGTGTGCTTGTACCACTCAAATGTCACATGATTACAAAAAAACGACCCAACCAGAGCTCCACAAATAGCAGTTGAATTCATTTCTCAGGGCTGACTCTGACCTTTTGGGAAATATATGACACATTTCCTCTTCAGGCTCCTTTGTGTTAGCACTGACAAGTTTTGAAGTCAAACTCCGATGTGAAAATCAATAAAATAACCTCTGGGACAAAGTTTTCTTTTTGTTCAAACACTACTATTGAAAACCCATAATTGAAATTCACTGAGCCATTTGTTAAGGTACGTGCTAATTAGCTCAGAGACAGAAGAGACAATACGAACCTAAATGATCTAAAAAAAGTAAAGTCAAAAGTTATTTTTATGACATAAAAAATAATAAATTTGATGTTTATCAAGGTGTTTCTGATCGTGAGCTCCTCAAATCAACCTAAGATGGTACTGTATCTTGCTTGACTGACAAGATAAGATCTAGAGATCGACCGATATATCGATTTACCGATACTTTTCCCGATATTTAAGCATTTTACGATAATCGGTTTTGTTATATCGGATTCACCGATAAACGTCGCCATCTTGTGGGTATTTTGAGAATTGCGTGCAGGATCGCCATTGCAGCACGGCGTCTGAGGGGAGACGAGACAACAACAACAGCGTGCATAGGTAAAGCATATGTACTTGCTTTGCTGTAATTAGTAAACTTCATAACAGCCATTAATGCACATATTAGATGTGTTACATAAATGCCTGAAATGTAGCTAGTTTATGCAGCTTGTCTCTAAGAAATAGAGACGAACGGTAAAGCATATGTACTTGCTTTGCTGTAATTAGTAAACTTCATAACAGCCATTAATGCACATATTAGATGTGTTACATAAATGCCTCAAATGTAGATAGTTTATGCAGCTTGTCTCTAAGAAATAGAGACGAACTCACTGAGTCACGTAAGATAATCCGACAAGTCCTGTCCCAATAAAGACATAACTTTGCTTGAATTAAATAATATACAGCCATGAATGAGCGCATGTTGGAAATAAAAGCGCTGCATTTAATTCTCTCTCTGTTGTCTATATGATTATCATTAGTCACGTGAAGTTGGAGTCGGCTAAAAATAATCTGTCAAGTCCTGTCCCAATAAAGACATAACTTTGCACGAATTAAATAATGCAGCCATGAATAAAAGCGCTGAATTTAATTCTCTCTCTGTTGTCTATGCTCATCATTAGTCTCGTGAAGGCGTCTACATTTTGCTGTTCACTCACAGGACACAGGTTGATGCTCAGGAAATGCCCCAGCACGGCCACCGCATGTAACTTTTAACAAGATTCACTTGTTTAAAACACCCTAAATTATATTAACATTTACTATATAACCATTATTTAGCTAATACACATCTAAATAAATACAACTCTATGGAAATTAATTATTTATTATCTCCGCGAGCGATAGCAGTTTGAGTATAGTTCTGTATAAATGCATAGATAAACAGCACTTTGTCAGCAGGCATTTCATAATCTAGAACGACAAAAACATTAGTAATTCTGATATAACATACCACATTAGTCTCGTGAAGGAGTTGACCCGTTGATTCCGGGTTGATGCTCAGGAAATGCTCCAGCACGCCACTGCCACCGCATGTAACTTTTAACAAGATTCACTGGTTTAAAACACCCTAAATTATATTAACATTTACTATATAACCATTATTTAGCTAATACACATCTAAATAAATACAACTCTATGGAAATTAATTATTTATTATCTCCGCGAGCGATAGCAGTTTGAGTATAGTTCTGTATAAATGCATAGATAAACAGCACTTTGTCAGCAGGCATTTCATAATCTAGAACGACAAAAACATTAGTAATTCTGATATAACATACCAGTTGAGAAATGCAATAAAATACGATGTTTTGTTTGTTATATTCCAATATTCCAGAGAATATTATTCAGTGAATTAACATTATCCAGTGAATTATTCTTCACTCTTTAGCCTATTAAACAGCTTATAAACCTACTAAAACTGTAGTTTAAAATGAAGATGACTCCTGTCCTTTATTTATTTTCTCCATTTGAAAACATTAGACATTCTACATTTATTTTGCTTATTAGTGTTGCTGCTGATGCTTTTCATAAATAAAATGTTTTTATTGTTGTAATATGAAGATTAAATTTAACATGAAAGACTGCTAATTTTCAACACTGTTTTTAAGATGACTGAAAGGAGGAAAACCCAAAGTGAAGTATGGACTTACTTCACTCAGTCATTTATTTACTTTATAACAGTAAATAAATATCGGTTCTGCATATCGGTTATCGGGCACATAAACATGCAAATAATTGGTATCGGTATCGGTTATAAAAAAAAAAAAATATCGGTCGATCACTAATAAGATCTCTGCGTTTCAGTTCAGCATTTCGATCGTTTGTTTGTCTGTGATTCCCACTGTTCTGAATCCGTGCCGGAGGCTCTTAGCAGGCAGAGGTTTGCGTTATCTAATTCCATGCTGTTATGGTTCACTTTGCTGATGCTGTTACTACATCACTGTTGCAACAGAAATTATGCACAGTTAAATCATCCCTGATCGAATCAGTGGAATTGTCCCAGAGCTGCTTTTGACTAACAAAGAAAGCAAAACGCAGACTTTATTGTCAGGGTGTAAGGACTTATCGCACAAATGATGAGTGATGTAACGGCAATGGAAGTTAGAGAAGTGCAAGAAGTTTTGTGCATAAAACAGTCCGAACTTTTAATAAAAGTTGACTGGAACAAATTACAGCCCTTTTGTTGTGTTACAAAGTCACTCAAAGTTACTCAAAGCCTTCACGCGCTCAGCTGGTGCTTACACACACACACACACACACACACACACACACTGATGCTATTGATCCTGTTTAGTGGTTCAAATCTCAGGGCATTAGAGCTAGACCACTAAGACAAATAAAAGTGAAAATAAAGGGAATCATTCAGCGCAGCGGAGATGTCCTGGGTTTAATCGCATTCGGGTCAAACTCGTCAAACCGCAGCTGCACTATTATAGCACATTAAAGCACTCTCTCACACACACACACACACACAAACACACAAACATCGCAGTGGATCTATAAGTCTGAGTAGTGCAGACTAGTTCTGTATCCCAGTACAAGGAAGACAGATGTTAAAAAAACACCTATGTGGGGCGCTAAAGAGCGCTCTGAGTCCGTATAAAAGCAGTCTTTTCGCTGTGATACTCCAGCTCTTCGCTGTCTGACTCAGAGTTCATCCCTCCCGCCGTATCCTCGTCCCCCCACACAGTGGGGATCCCCCGGTACGACACTTTCCCCCGGCTGAGTCCGAACCCGAAGCCCACTCGTATCCCCCCTCCGCCCATGTCCATCACCGGCAGTTTCTTCCTCCGGCAGAACGGGGCACTGGCTGCTCCGGAGTGTAGCTGAAGCAGCACAAAAACGGCTGCAAAAGTGGCCAGGATGAAGGCACAGCTGAGCACCGCCACCAGCGCCGGCAATCTCGAGGATAATCCGGGCTCGTGCAAGGATTTATCCGAGTTCGGATCCACCTCGTGCTGGAGCACAGGAATGCTGGGCGATTTTCGCTGGTTCTGCTGCAAACAAGAAGTGACAACTAAGTGACTGTGGGAGGGACAGGAAAGACATTCGTTCTCCCCAGACCCGAAGCACGTCAGGCAGGACGGGTGGCAGGGCAGGCACGCCTGTACGGTAGAGTGCTCCACCCAGTTGTCCAACGACAAGTTGAGCACCTGCAGCCCAGAGCTGAAGCCGGGAGGGCAGGACTTCACGCAGCCTTGTAAGAAAAGCGAGAAACCTGTGCTGCATTCTGGAAAACAGAGATCGGAAGAACGCTTAATTGCAGATGCCACGAGTCTTTAACGAATATGAAATGGCATTTGAAACACATTTAACTTTCATAATGTGACAATTTTGAGAGAAAACAGATGGAGCTAAGATATTATTGGTTAATATTAGTTTTCCCTGCTCATGCAGCATTGGGTTTTGTCAGCAGAAGAGAAATTTTGTTTCAAAGGTTGTTGAGATTAAAGCGAATATGGAAATAAACATTTCTGGCAACACTTTACATTTATTACATTAATGAATGAAATGGGTAATAAACTTTTTTGTTTATGTATAATTTAGGCCATGCCAACTACTGCAGCTATATTCATGCCACGGGACAAGTGTAAAAATTTGAAAAGATATATATTAATAGATTAATGTGTGTGTGTGTGTATATACATATATATATATATATATATATATATATATATATTAGTGCTGTCAATATTAGTGCATTCATTTTTCCAGTTTATATATATTTAAATATTTAACAGTTAACGCAGGGGCGGAGCTAGGGTTGGCCACCCCACTCACAACTGCTGCTTCTGTCTCTTTTTTTCTTGACAAGGTTTGTGTTTATTTAGACGCAGAATGTCTTTATGAGCACATCAAACAAGAGAATTTTCAGACGTGCACTCCACTTCACCTCAGCACCAGGCGCTAATCAAAAGAGTGCATAAACGGTACAGGTGACGAGGAGCTTCAGTAGCCGTTACACTGTGCTCGTAGCGCATGCTCTTCAAATGCAAGCACAAATACGGCGGCGCGTGCTGCCTGTATTATTTCATATTAAAGCGCGAATGAAACTACAAGCATGCGTGACAGATTCGTGTCATGTTCAGCAGTGGCAGCTCTTAAAGTAATAGCAGCCAAATAACCTAATAACACAGCTGTTGTGATTTCTGTTAATCAAAGAAAAAAAGAGCAAATCATTAACTTTTGTAGCTTTAAGGAATTTATCTATATTTATTGTAGAATTTAGTGTTTGATAAATTTATTCAATTTCTGTATATTTCCTACTTGCTGAAGGGCACAGGTAAATATGACTGTTATAATGGGTTTATGTGAAGATGGTTTTAAATTCACTTGAATTAGAAGTTGAATTTTTTGAAATTGTTAAAGTCTAATAAATGTTAAAATTGATAGCTCTGAATTATGCTGTAATGTTGAATGGCTATAGTCAATGGTTAAATATTAGGAAAAAATTAACAATTTCCTAGAGTGGGATTAATCGTGATCAATTTCAGAACAAAAGTGTGATTAATTAGTTAATTTTTTTATATCGATTGACAGCACACACACACACACACTCACATATGTGGTAATGTATGAAAAATGTAGTGTAAAAGTTTTGTTTACTGTTAATTCATGTTAAATATTGTGTTGACCCTACTGTAAAATGTTAGCACATTTGTTTTCTAAAAAATAACATGCAAATAGCGGGCATTAGCATAAGCTGTCTGCTGAACTGCTGTCATGGTGGAATTTAAGGGTAGTTAAACTGCCAACATCTTTATAACTAGGTACCCTGTCAAAAACAAAGGCGCACAGATTTTAAGATATTTATTCTGCACCCTTAGTAGCACAAGAACACACATTAAGTATGTGCTACAGTCTGCACACTTTCAATACATGAGCTAAGCATTTACGTTTGCATTTGCATAATTGCCAGGAGAATGTTTCTGGAATAAGACCAGGTACATTTATTATAGGTAATAAGGTCATTTCATGTTGTGCTCTCATTTTTGGTCCAAATGGAACAAATTATTCACCTATATTATTCAGTAAAATTCAGTACTACCTAGAGTAACAGCGCAAGAACACCTTATGAAAAATGAGTTAAATAACTTTTAGCAAAGTTTGTCCTTGACTGCAGGCACAATATGGGGCCATGATGGAGAAATCCATCATCGAGTCTCTACAGCAGTGATGGGCAAACTTGGCCCGTCCAGGCCACTTTCCTGCGGAGATTTGATCCAACCCTGATAAAACTCACCTGCCTGTAGCCTTCTAGTAGTCTTGAAGACAATGATTAGCTGGTTCAGGTGTGTTTGATTAGGGTTGGAGCTAAACTCTGAAGGAAAGTGGCCTGGAAGGGCCAAGTTTGCCCACCCCTGCTCTACAGCAACTTTGAACAATAAACTTAAGCATTTGATTAACAAATTAAGGTTTGTTTACAGCCCTCTGAAGGTTGGGAAGGTACGACCTCACATCAAGAAGAGGCAGAGGATTTAAAAACTTTTCCACTTCTTTAATAATGCACAGTTTATCTAATTTAAACCTCTCTGGCATCATTCTTAAGGGTTTTGCAATATTTATACTCATAAACATATATTAATATTCATAAGCACAACAGCAGTCATACTGAGACATATGAACATTTCTATATGACAGAGAGGGTTTGCCAAGGGAATTATAGTGTGTAAACATTTCCTTCTGGTCATGAATGTCACCACCTATAAAAGCTTGTCTGTTAAGGGTTGTGTGTGTTTGTTTGTATGCCCTTTGGTCCATGGTGTGTCTTACCGATGCAGATCTGCTGGGTGTCAAAGGTTTTGCAGCTGTTGTTTGAAGGCCGGTTGTAATCAGAAATGGACGGATCTGTGGCACTGGAGCCGGTGCCATATAAGATGAGGGTGAACTGAGAAAGAATGCCTGTGGAAATGATACTGAACTTTAAAGACGCTTTGATCATCAACAAAAAATGGCATTCATAGCATAAAAAATAATGTTCTTAATCAGTATTTTTCATCTTGTTTTGCAGTAACAGTATCTAAACATCCTTAAAACAAGATAAATACACTTGAGAAGCAATTTATGTAAGATATTTAGACAGAGAATATATCTTAAATTAAATTTACTTTTTCTAATCCCAATGGCAAATTGTTTATTTTCTTGTTTCAAGCATAAATCAAACAAAATTGGGAGAGATTTATTCTCAAAACAAGAAGAAAAAAAAAACAATTTGCCAGTGGGGTAAGAAAAATTTACTTGACTCAAAATGTATTCTCTGAAATGTCTTTTATCTTCTTCCCAGCCATTTTCCTTTTTTTTTTATTTATTTATTTTTTTTAAAGTAAATTTATCTTGTTTTAAAGGATGCTTAGATGTTTGTACTGAAAACCTAGACAAAACACTGACTAAGAAAAAGCTGAATGTAGTACCATAATCATTAAGTCCAGCCACATTCTCAATCTCCAGTGTCCATTCTCCCCGAGGGTCCTCATCCCAGGAGTGAGTGGTCATGAATGCCCAGTCGTTGAACCCTTCGGCTGAGTTATCCTGAGCCCTGAACACAAGAGAAAGAGATCTCTATATAAGTGTGTGTCTATCTGAGAAGCTTAAACAAGATGAATTGAGTTTGTAATTTGAGTTGAGTTCCAAATAATTACGTTTCATAAAGATAATGGGGTGAATTGTTTTGTATATGGCCAGACAAGTGTGCAATTATAAGACAATTATAAAGTTACAAAAGATTTGTCAAATAAATACTTTTTTTTTTTAAATTTTTTTTTATACTTTCTAGTCATCGAAGAATCCTGAAAAAAATGCATCACGGTTTCCACAAAAATATTCAGCAGCACAACTGTTTTCAATGTTGATAATAAGAAGTAATGTTTCTTGATCAACAAATCATCATATCAGAATGATTTCTGAAGGATCATGTGACACTGAAGACTGGAATAATGATGTTGAAAATTCAGCTTTGCTCCACAGAAATAAATTATATTTTTAAATATATATTACAATAGAAAACAGTTGCGTTAAGCTGCAATAATATTTCACAATATTACAGATTTACTGTATTTTTGCTCAAATAAATGCAGCCTTAGTGAGCATAAGTGCTTCGTTCAAAAGCATTAAAAATCTTACCAACCTCAAACTCTTGAACTGTTTGAGGTTGGTTTGAACTCCATACACTGAACTCCATACACTGGAGTTCACTGTTTTGAACTCCAGAGTGTATGCAAATGTATTTTTGCTAATGATGTGTTTACCGTGGAGCCAGCAGCGTGGAGCGAGTTCCCAGTGGGCTGATGAGGTGAACAGCCAGGTTTCCTCTGTGGTTATAAGTGAGGGTGAGTCTGGCCTGCACATGCTCCAAAGAGCTCACAAAATCCGGCTGCCCAGAGCAGGCCTCTACACTTCTGCTGAAGATCAGGTGTTTTCTTATGTCCCTACAACAGAAGAATCTGAAATTATACTCCACTCTGACAAGCGACTATATGATGAAGTGTAATTTTGCTGTCAATTTCATGTGTCTAGTTTGCCTGTCCTTAAATGGTGACCTCTGGGTCCCCAGGTAGCAGGCATTAGCTGGCATTACCTATCTGGTGTATTGATGTACTGCCTGTGCTGCATGAGGTGTTTGACCGTCCTTACCTGGGCTCGGTCAGCATATTAATGACACATTTGTGCTGCGGCCCCACGCTGCTCCAGTTCTGGGCCAAAGCGACCATGGCACTAGCATCCAGCAGACCATAGCCGTAAGAATGGCTCACTGCCACATAGAGAGAGACAGAGAGAGAGACAGATGGAAAAAGTAACAAGGTCAGACATGTCTACTGAATAAATAAATGTAGCTCTCTGATTGGTTACAAGAACCGTCATTTACCTAATCGCCCCATGCCATTGGTCCTCCAGTCGTTGGTTATTAGGTGGGCAGGACGTGATGTTCGCACAACGAGATGCTGCATGTCTCTCCAGGTCAGGTTCATGCTAGATGTCGTACGAAAAAATGAAAAGTGATACGAGTATTACATTGCAGCAGGGCCACAGATTTATTTTCATATTCACATAGATATAGATACAATTCCTTGTATGTGCAAACATACTTGGCAATAAAGCTCTTTCTGATTTTGATAATTTGCACATAATTATCCTCTTGGATGTGACAGGATGTCTTTTTGAAAGACACATAATTAAAGCTTTTCTTTCACTCGAGTCACAGAAAATTGCAAATGGAAATATTCCGTCCTGGGGGCCATGCATCATTTTGTAATTACACAGCCGACCAAGCTTTTTTTTTTTTTAAATGAAGACCCAAAATTGTATTCCCCGAAAACACAGCAATAGTTGTTGCTCTACATGGCGGAAACAAGTGGCTTTGGGACTCGTGGCCCCCACGGCCAAGGTTGAAAAGCCGTGTTATTTCTCAACAGGGTATTTCAGGGCAAACCACATCTGGAATTTACGGTGGCCGAGAAGTGCAAAACAAATCACAATTCTGAAAACAAAATAACAAATTGCAAATGCAAATGCAAGTCTAAAAAACAAAATAACAATTCAGAAAACACAACAATTCAGAAAACATTATAACAAGTCAGAAAACACAATGACAAATCCAAAAACAAATTAACAAGTCAGAAAACACAAACGACAAATCAGACAAACCGGAAGAGGTAGGTATAGTTTGAGACAGCGCCATTGGTTTGGGATTACTCATCGCGTAATTTGTTATTTTGTTTTCAGAATTGCGATTTGTTTAGCACTTCTCGGCCACTGTAGGAATTGGACATAAAGCACTGCCGAAAATACCTGCATGACAAGCCATTTCCACCCAAATGAAATGGATTTAGCGTAACGATACGCCGAAGAACAGTATGAAAAACATCCTGCTCTGGTGTCTGTATATTTTTCAGGGTGATTTATGGAAAAGGGGATCCAATTCATAAGCTTTCAATATTTGTGACCTCACAATAAATGACTTAGCGGGTATATTCATAATGCCATATGCACGATTTATGAACCTAAAGCCAAGGCACAGATGTAGCGATTTACATTCAGTGATTAATAGACATAAGACTACTGAAATTCTCATGTTGTACATGGCAAGACTTGCACAAATATCGAACAGATATCATTTTATATAGATGAGGTGCCAGAGCCTTTAAACAGGCTGGACTCAAACCAGGAATCTATTCATGGACAGGGGGTGGAATAATGTCCTCACCACTTAAAGATTTCATAACAACAACAGTATGGCTACACTAATGCAAAACCGCATTAGATCACTCCTATTATAATCAATGAATGACAATAGAAGCACTGAGACATGCATTCAGTTCGCAAACACACCAATCCTGTTTTCTGTCTCTGCATAGTTATTACAGACACCGATATTCCTTGTTATTAATATTGCATATATACTATATATTGAAATATGCATGGTATATAATAAAAAGTTAAGTAAATATGTCTATATAAAAAAAGTAAATATATAAAATGTTTGGGGTCAGTAAGATTTTTACATTTTTTTTAACTAGTATTTTTATTCAGCAAGGAATCATTAAATTGATCAATGTGATTAAAAGTGACAGTAAAGACATTTATAGTATTACAAATGACTTCTATTTTTTTTTTGACATTCAAATAGATCACTTTTCATTAATATATAGACGGATAAAAAAATATATATCTAAAATCTAATTATATTAAATATATCATTTTTATATAATATATATTTTTAAATAATATAATATATAATTATAAATAATAAATATAAATATAATAAATAGATATGTATTTTACATAATATATGATATTTTATAATACAAATTAATTATTATTTGATTTTAAATCATGAGGTAGTTCTGAGAGAGTTTTACAGATCCCCTGTCCAAGCATCGGCTACTGCACAATCACACATTTCAGTGGAAAGTGAACTCTTTTTCTGTCTTTCTTCTGAACCCAGACGTTCAAAAGTCACCTACAGCATGACATCACAAAGACTTCCAACTGATGAAAAGAGCAGAGTTGTGACAGAAAGAGAACGGAGATGGAGGTCCTTATAAAAAATGCCCCCAAAAACGTCCCATCTCTTTCATTGTTGGGCCAAGCACGATCAAAGCAGGCACCAGCGGGGCTTACAACCCTGAACAGCAGGGGCCGAACTCACACACGCACAAACACTGTGTGTGAACCAGGAGCCCCGTGACTCCGCCACACACAAAAAAAGTAAAAGAAACCTGATGCTTGTGTGAGACGTGATTTCCATGTCTTATTACAACCTCACATGGTACAGGATAAAATACTCTGCAGGAGCTTTTAATCGAGCATGATGACTTGATGTTGTATAAGGGCCTTGGGGTCAATCGGCCCCCGAACAAGGAGTGTTGACTGGCAGTCATCACCCATCTCTCTCCATCCCTCCTTCATTTTTTTAGATGAGCAATGTCAAGGCGATGTCAGAGTGTGTCGGAGGGCTGAAGATGATGCATGAGGGGTAATGAAGTCTAACCGATGAGGGGGAATGATGGACAGGAGTGTGTAGAGCGTGTGTGCGTATGTCTGTCCATAGAGACAGGCGTCATTGTTGTCATCACTCACTTGGCCTCCAGAGCGAGAGCGATGATTCCCGCGGCCAGGGGAGCCGAGGCGGATGTGCCCGTGTGCGAGTCTGTACACTTCTTCCTCAGGTCCGTCGTCACCTGCACAGATGAAAACAAATATATGGAAAGGTCAGGTGTGTTAGTGGTCAGCCATCGGAAAGACATTGGTTGTAACTATATATAAGATGTGAGGGCGTCCGTCAGCCAGAGGTGCCTGTCAAATCGCCTGACAAGAATGTGAGTCCGAGAGGGAAGGAAAAACCTCATTCACTGCAGCTTCTGTGATGAGATGTGTGACAGCTTGGGAGACGTAATAAGCTGGCACTCCACACATGAGGGTTTGGGGTTTTAATCATGCCATAGGAGACACGGCGACATGCCTGCGGGATTGACAACGGTCAGGATGAGAGTACGACCAGCCCGAGGCTACAGAACCATCAGAGCGTACACAGGTGAGCGGCTGCCAGACACCCACACACACTCTTTCTCTTTTGTTTTATTTGTCTCTGTCCCTTCAGTCTGATTTAAACACATATAAACACATACATACTCAAAATCCCACCACACCGCTGTCGGCAAGATTGCGTCCATTTTTAAATTGAATCTGTTATTGCCTTTGTCATCCTAATGGAACTGGGGGTCTCAGAAGAAGGAGAGGGGGAGCTATCGCAGTCGCACATACTGGGACAGACTTGACATCAAGTAAACAAACACTCTAAAGCCGTCCGAAACATCTCGGATGAGCTTCAATGAGCTTGCAGAGATAGATTTGCCTGGAGAGTCTGAAACCACTTTCACAGGAATGAGTGTATCAGAGATTCACAGTTCGCATAACTACCCACAGAACAAGAAATCATATTTTCCCCTCAATGTGGGTGTGAATTTGAGCGAACCAAATTCAACTGGTCAAAAAGAGTTATCAGTGTGAAAATCGAGCTAGATAGATATTCTGCTAGCTATATAAAATAAGGAACATCAAGGACATTGTGATGATAATGGATAATATCTAAAACATAACATATTTTGAGTTTCATTGGATTAGATCACAGAAACAATGACTGGATCATTCTAATTCCAGTGAACAAATCATTCATGAATCATGAGTGAATGAATCAGATCTTTGAATCAATGTCTCGACAGTATCATTCCAATTCTAGGGAACAAATCATTCATGAATCATAAATCAATAAATCAGATCTTTGAATCAATGTCTCAATAGGATCATTCCAATTGTAGTGAACAAATCATTCATGAATCATGAGTCAATGAATCAGATCTTTGAATCAGTCCCTGTGTTCCATTCGGAAGGGCTCATCCCTATACCCTAATCCCTTCAAAGGGTTTTACCCTCCGGAGTGAGAGCTTCAAAGGGTTGAAGAGTGTAGGGGACCAAACAACTGTTTCTTGAAGTGCCATTCGTCGTCATCATCCCGTGCCCATATGGAGGCGCCATCATCATGCAAAGAATCTGCACAAAGAATCATGGGGGCCGAAGTGTCCATCAGTGGCCAGTTTTGAGCACTTCGGTTTGGAACAACCCTTCAATATGGCGGCCATGATTGTTTTTACTCTGAAGTGCCCTTCGGAGGGCGATATATCCCGTTTGGAACACACAGACTCTCAATAGGATCATTCCAATTCTGGCGAACAAATCATTCATGAATCATGAATCAATGAATCAGATATTTGAATCAATGACCCAACTGGATCATTCCAATTCCAATATACAAATCATTCATGAATCATGAATCAATGATTTAGGTCTTTGAATCATAGTCTGAAGTGGATTATTCCAATTCCAGCGGACAAATCATTCATGAATCAATGAATAAGATCTTTGAATCAATGACCCAACTAAATCATTACAATTTTAGTGAGCAAATTGCTCATGAATCATAAATCAATGAATGAGATCTATGAATTAATGACTGAGCTGTGTAATTCCAATTCCTGTGAACAAAATGTTCATGAATCATTAAAACATCAAGGAGATCTGAGGCAGATGTCAACAGTTTTAGTGAATATGACTTACACAACTGCTATCATATGATTTCAGTAGACTTAAATATTACATAAGCTGTATAGACCACTTTTATGGCGCTTCACAGGCCCAGTCCTTTCACTTTAATTATACAGAAATGATTGACTAGGAAATTCTTCAAAATGACATGAGTGTGTGTGTAAATGACAGATTTTTCTAAAACGACTTCTGAATTCTGTTAGAAACGCAGCCACAGTTCAAACTAATAGCCCAGATTCTCATCAAGATGATCCAAAGTAATGACTTTTAGAACTTGTGAAGGGCATCTTCTTTTTATAGGCGTCTTTTGGCCTAATTAGCTTGCCCTAATTAAAAAGCCTGCTCAGGCACACTCAAATACAGCTTATGCAGATAAAATGAAGGTATGTAACTGAAAACGAGGGGAAAGCTTGCAAATACGATCCAAAGAATCTGCAATGCAGCATGTTTGGTATTCTAAAATTGCTGCCTCTATGTCTTTTGCTGTCTTTCACTTGGTCTAATTTCTATGCTCCTTCTCTCTTTGCTTTTTCAAACACCTTTTTCTCATTTCCACTCTCGGAGGAAACGCCGGGGCAGAGAAGCAGATGTCTATGGCATGCAGCAGCAGCACCTGTGATTGGGAAGTTTTCAGACGCTTCTCTAAAGTGATTTTTTTGCCTTCTTAGGGCATGACGTTTAGAGAGCTCTTTTTCATATAGCCCACAGGAAATCACAGAGGCAGATGTGGAAATCATTTCATCGCCTGACACTTCATCTTCACAGCACGCTGAACGGGGCGGCACTCCATCACTCACTTTTCCTGTGTACAGTCATGTCATGGCCATTTAAACCAAGCAGAAAATTTGGCACACACGGGCTGTTTGCTCTGACGTTTACAGTTCTGCTTACAACTGAGAATGCCAGTGTTTGTGTGAGGGCATGATGATCTGTCTGTGTGCTGTTAACATGTAAATGTTGCAGTGCTGAAACGTGAATTCATTCTATTTCTGAAGCCTTTAATGAGACATGGTTGTAGCAAACTGTGTGTATGTGTTTCTGATAATAAACACATCTGAAGGCTTTTGTAAGCATTTGCATAGATAACTGAAGAATGGCTGAACTGCAAAAAATATTTTTTATTTTACTGCATAACGAATGAACTTTTTTCAGAGAACACATTGTTTATATCTATAGTTATATATATATATATATATATA